TTTTGGCCAGGCTTCTTCGGAGCGTAGAAGCCAATCTGGGCCATTCCACCAGAGAGTGTTGGACGCCAATTCTCGCGGATTACAACCTCGGGTACCCAAGTCTGCAGGATTTTCACGGCTGATGACATGCCTCCATGTGGCGTTATCAACGCTGCTCATAATCTGGGACGTCCGGTTAGCGACATACGTCTTCCAGGTGTGAGGCGGTTTTTCTAACCACGCAAGTACAATTTGAGAGTCCGACCAAAGGAACGTGTTCTGTAAGTAGAGGTCAAGGTTTTCTCGTATGGACTTGACCAACTGAGCAAGCAAGACAGCGCCACAGAGTTCCAACCGCGGGATACTAACGGTTCGCAAAGGTGCCACTTTTCCTTTTGCTGCTAAAAGGTGGCAGGCGACTTTTCCGTCACGATCCGTTGTGCGCAGGTAGAGAACAGCGCAGTATGCCTTTTCTGAAGCGTCGCAGAATCCGTGAAGCTGGAGACGATGTATGGGTGAAAACTTTACCCATCGAGGGATTTCGGTGGTCGAGATATGAGGTAAATTCTCTAAAATTTGATTCTGTTTCACTAGCGATCCTGCCTCGACGCTTTCATCCCGATCGGTACCTTCTAGCCATAAAGATTGAAGAAGCAATTTGGCTTGAGTCATAATGGGCGAGAGCCATCCTGCCGGGTCAAACAGTTTTGCGATTTTTGATGAGATTTGCCGCTTCGTGGCAGTCTTTGTAGCATTAATGGGAACAACTGAGTAGGAAAAGGTATCTGAAAGAGCGTTCCATCGCATACCTAGTGTTTTTGTACTACTGGTACTCTCAAATTTTAGAAAATCGGAATCAAGGAGATCTGACTTCGTGATTTTTTCCAGAATCTTTGGGTTGTTGGCCGTTATCTTTCGGAGTGGGAATTAGTGCTGGAGTGTCTTTATAACTTCTGATAATTTATTCACAGCATCTGGAATTTTATGGCTGCCTGATAAAATATCGTCTACATAAGTGTCTCGCAGAAGCACTTGTTCAGCGAGTGGGAACCTGTTGCGTGAATCCTTAGCCAGTTGTTGAAGGGTTCTAATGGCTAGAAATGAAGCGCAGTTTACTCCGAATGTAACCGTTTTCAGCCTGAAGTCTTGAACTTCTGAGTTATGCGGTATGCGAAAGAGAATTCGCTGGAACTCCTGATGAACACGGATTTGTCGGAACATCTTCTCTATATCCCCATTATAAATGAATTGATATAATCGCCACCGTAATATCAGGGCCATTACATCGGGTTGAAGAGCGGGACCAACGCGCAGGATATCGTTGAGGGAATACCCAAAGCTAGTATTCCTAGAGCCGTTAAAAACAACGCGCACCTTTGTAGTTGTTTTGTCAGGTCAGACTATAGCATGATGTGGCAATTAAAATGAGAAATATTTGCTATCTGAGGCGATTTCTTGCGAGCTGGTTGGTTCCATGTGATCCATCGTAAGATATTCTTCGAAGATTTCGTCGTAAATGGCTTTGATATTGCCTTTTCGGGCGAGATTTTTCTCCATACTGATCAACTGGCTGTAGGCATAGCTACGGGATTGGCCTAATGCATGCAAGTTTGGGAAACTTGATTTGAAGGGGAGTCTCCCCACATATCTACCGTCTGGCTCACGATATGTGGTCCTTTGGTAGTAGTCCTCGCATGCTATATCCTCTTCTGAGATCGGTGCAGGGTGGTACAGTTCTTCTTGCTCCCAGAACTGTCTTAGTTGTGTACTAAGGAGTTCGTTAGAAACTTCTTCCACTTGTGTCGAGAACACTGACACTTCACAAGTGATGGGTCCACTTATGATCCATCCAAATTTGGTATTTTGCGTGAGCAGGCTTTCACATATGTTGCGATGTATACCACTGAGCATGATCTGAGGAATCAGATCACTGCCGATAATCATATCGATTTGGGCTTGTTGGAAACAGTTGGGGTCTGGCAAGTCCAACATGGCGAATTGATTCCAATCGGGTTTTTCAATAGTGAAGGTTGGAAGAAGTCTAGTCAATTTTGGAAGGACGATTGCTTGGGTATCAATCGACTTTCTGTTTTTCGGCGAAACTAACTTCACGGAACAAATATGGCTGGAATTTTGAATTAATTTTCCACCCATTCCGGAAATTTCGTTTTGAGCCTTTCGGGTGGGGAGCCTTAGACGATTTTGCACTTTCGAGGTGATGAAAGTTTTTTGAGAACCTTGGTCGATGAGAGCTCGAACCTTGTGCAGTACTCCGAGATGCTCTATTCAGACGAGAGCTGTTGGAAGTAGAGTTTTTCCTTCGTTTACTGTGTGCATGGATTGCACCTGTGGACTGTATGTATTGGCGGGTGACTGAGAATTGTCAGTCGCGTTTGTGGGTGTTTGTGATGTGTTATGGTTTGCTTGAGCTGTCGGATTTCGTGTTTCCTTCGGGTTTTGAGGTTTGCTGGATCGCCTTAGTGTTTGGCGGTTGGATGCCTGCAATACGTTTTTTTCCTGTTGGCTTTGATCATTGTGAGTGGTCACATGGAGTAACGAATGATGGTTTCTATGGCAAACTGCGCACGTATTTTGACTTGAGCAGTCACTTCTTAAGTGGGAGAATGAGAAGCAGTTTTCGCACAGCTGCTTTTCTCGGACCACCTTATATTTATCACGCACAGACAACATCTGGAATTCGAAGCAAAATCTAAGGGCATGATTTCCATCGCACATAGGACAAGGGTTCGTCGTGTTGCTTTCAACATAAAAGTTTTGAGTTCTGCTATGACTTCGATTCTGAACAAACTCGGGCTTGATTTGTTTCATGCCGTGAAGTCGCTCTACTACCTCATATCGTTTTGTAAGAAATTCGTTCATTTGCTCCCAGGTGGGCAGATCTTTGCGAGAACTTAGGGATTATTCCCACAAAGAGTAGTAGTAGTAGAAGGTAGCTTCGACGAGCATATGTATACCAGGATTGGGTCCCATTTCTCTGTCGGGACGCCTTGAGAATTTAAGACAGACAGATAATTGTTAATGGAATTTTGAAGTGTCTGTAATGCTTCGCTGTTTTCA